AGTTAAAATAATAAAAATAAATTAAAAATCATAAATTAAAATTTGTGACTTGTGACTTTTGGCTTGTAAATCAAAATTCAAAAATCAAAACAAGCTCTTCATACTAAGTACGGAAATTATTGTAATAGGGTGTTCATAATAGTTAAATTATACAATAATTTATCATCAAATATTTAATTTGGTTATTCATGTTATATACGAACATATGAGGTTTAATTTAAACCGAACACTTGATTTTATTTCTGATAGCAAATTGTTTTTTAATCATAATATCCTTGACCTATTACTAAATTTTGTCCAATCTGAAAGTGAGTTGTATTATCCCACGTGATTAAGAGTAATTAGCATTATGTATTACTTACTTTGTCCCACTTTAGGTAGTATTTTTCATTTTTTGAGAGTCAAATAATTTATATTTGATCGGAAATTTATATATTTGTAAAGTACGTAAAAAGTATTATAAGTCACAATAATTGATTATTGAAAATATTTAAAAGATCTATGGAAAACTTACGATCAAAGATAGACTTGTTTGAATCTCAAAATAAAAAAGTGTCACATAAAATAAGATGGAAGGAGTATTTGTCACATTTTGCTTTTCAACGTCAAATTGACCAATTTAATTAAATAATTATAAAAATTAAATAATATTTAAATTTATAAAAAGGCTACTGTGGTAAAAATTGACGTATCTCGATGAAAAATGGCAGTTTGTGAAAATTAGGAGGAAATCGTGTTCCCCCAAAAGAAGTAATCCGTCAACGAAATGTGAAAGCTAAGTGTAACAAATACTCCCTCCGTTTTTATTTATATGTCACTATTTTAGATTTCACGTCCCTTAAGGAATTACGTGGATTACTATTGTACTTTTATTTAGTAATCTATTAAAGTCAACTTTTCAATAAATGAACATAAATTAATTTACTTTGATTAATTAAATTGACCAATGATCATTTTGTTTTTCTACGTTGGTCAAATTCATTCTTTCAAAGCTAATAACTCTGAAGGATAAAATAGGAAGAATATTGTTATCTACACATTGATTTTGTGAAATGACCAATACTCCTATCACGCCCCAAGCTACCCCCAAGACGCGGACACGGGACCTAGGACCACAAGTGATCCCAAGCTAACCCTGCTGGCATGATCATGAGCATACTAAAGATAATAATAACTTATGCGGAAGATAAATCATAAAGTAAGTCTGAAATGATGGGGAATACCCATATACTATATCTGAGATATATGAAAACTGATGAGTTTAATACAAAGAAGATATTAACTCAACACTAAGCTGAATCTAACTATGTCTGAAATAAGCCTCTAAACTGACTAGAAATGTTGGAACATGCCCCAACTAGATCTATCAAAACTGAAACTAAAGACTAAAAGCGATAAAGATAAACATGTCACTAGTCCTCGAAGAATGAGGACTCACCACTGATG